GTCGACCAAGAGGACTTGCTGTGGCTCAACTGGTGCCGCCAATATCTCCAAGTCACCACCCTCTCGGAACTCACCACCGCCGACGGGTGTTCCCTGACGGCAGCTTCTCTTGCCGGCCAACCCTCCGAACACTTTGTGACCAGCTACAACTGGCCCCGAACCCGACGCCCTGGCCCCTCTCATAGGGACCTATGGCGACGCGTCCTCTCGCAAGCTGTCCTCCGCCCCTACAGCCGCCGTCGCCGATTGTTGCAGCCCCTCGGACCGTGGTCTGATTCGCTAGACCGATGGACCTGGCTCTTCTCTCACACCGCTTTGATTCTCTTCCATCGGACGGACAAAAACCTGGCAATCTACCGACCCATCAACTTGCTTGTTCCGTAAACGATGGGGTCTCGACTCCGAGAACCGTTGCCCCTTGTGCAGACTGGAGGAAGACCACCTACACGTCCCCCGCTGCCCTTCTGACCCGGCCAAGACCCAGTGGCAGCTCCTACTCCAAGAACTCCAAGAATGGTTCCAGTCCACTACCACTGCTACACCCATCGCCCAATTCTCGGGGCCCTTCTTGGCACCATCCGCACCCCTAACAACCAGCCTCAAACAGAGACTCCGTGGTACCGCCTACACGGAATGTCTTCTTCCGCCCTCACCCAAGTCTGTGAGGCTCAACTCCGCCTTGGCCCCCAATGCCTCCTCAAAGGCCTTCTCATCCACGGCTGGGCCGACCTCCAGCAACAATTCTACCGCTCTTGCGGTAGTCGCCGATCCGGTAACCTGTGGGCTGCCAATCTATCTCGACAGCTCATCCTTATCGGTAAAGGCATGTGGAAGCATCGCAATGATGTCTTTCATTCTGACGACAACATCGTCAACCAACAGCGCGCGACTGCTCTTGATCAACGCATCCACGAAGAGTTTGACATGGGTCTTCGCGACCTACCTCGGAACCTTCGCCCTGCCATCCAATCGATCCCGCCTTGTGGAAGTCCTCCGACTCCAACTGGCGGACAAGGAGGAATGGGTCCTTGTCATCTCCGAAGCCCGCCGCAAAATCAGACGATCTCTTGCAGGCAGGCGACGATTGATGTGGGAACTGACCCACCCTACTCCTCGCCCAGCAGCCCCCTGACTTACTAGTCTACATATTTACCAAAGTGATTCTGGTACCGGTACATCACAAGCCACACGTACCCCAGTCTAACACATACATATTCTCCACCCCACCTTGCGTGGGAGAGCCGATCGTCCCTTGACGCTTTCGACTTGCGAGCAACGCTCCTCTATTGAACGCCTCCACGTGGTTCAAACTTTGTTGACCAAAAGCAACCTAGTTCCTGGCCTCTACAGCCGTATTACACCGGCAGTTGGATACTCTCGAAGTAGCATAAATACCAATTAATGATTCAGTTATATATATATGGCGCTGTGAAAAGCAGTATGGCCCCAGCATCATTTATCATCTCTTCAATTCGATCGGACATGTGTATTGTTGCGTAATCCAAAATGACAACACTATTAGGCTCCTTCTCCTCATAATTCCCTAGAATTGGGACGAGTTTCTGTTCAATGAACAGCTCAAACCTTTCAGTATCGACAGTGCCTCAATTCTCAAGGCGTTTGTTTTGGTGAACTATTTCACAAGCTTCAGGTACAAAACCAAATATGTTGGCAAGATCAATAAAAGTGAATTGTTGTAGGAAGTCTTCTTCAAAGTAGGAAGGAATCACAGTTGCAATTCCTTTTTTTTTCCCAAGCACGACGTCGTCGACTACCATAACGACTTTTGTGAGTCTCGTCAGTGAGAAGTATCTGTTGAGGATCTGACACGGATTGGTCGAGTCGCTGGTAGAAGAGTGCCTGTTGAGGATCCGACACGGATTGGTCGAGTCGCTGGTAGAAAGTGCCTGTTCATTCTCGCTAGCTTGTCTGGCACGATGTACCGCCACTTTCAAAGAATATCCAAGTTTGTGCATTCGCTTCCGAAGTGTTGACGGATGCCAAATTTTGCCTGTCAACTTCTTCATCTCCGTCACAATCTCATCCAGATACAATTGAGGTTGCTCTTTAATTATTCTTTGTAGACACTCATCATCATTTGCAGTAAACAACAATCGCTTTGATTGGCCTTCGTCTCCCTTCCAAGCTTTGTACCAAGGTGGGAGATGGCCAAACTGAAGATAGTATGTCAGCCAGTCACGAAACTGTCACCAAGAAACATCATAACCAGTGATATCTCTCACTTCATTCAAACTCCGTTTGAGAGCTACACTGTCCGTTCGTTTGCCCGATTTGTAGCCAAAGTCCCAGGTTTTGTCTTGAAAGTATTCAAATGCCTTCTGGATGGCACTGCGTTGCACAAGTTTATCCTCCGCTACGTCTTGGAACATAAGCTTGCTCCTCAATGTAAGCACGTTCTTGATGGCGTTGTGTTGCCAATCGCCCTCGCCCCTCTCACTGCCTGTAAGATGGCAGAGAATATGTTGGCATGCTGCAACATGAGAAACGAAACAATAGGTGAGATTCGGCGCTGAAAATACTGAAACATCAAGTAGCTCCAACTCCACAACCACAATTACAACGACAAAGACACTCTGCCAAATCTTCACTTGTATCATAAAGATGGGATTGGCACCGTTGCAATGTCATCAAAAGGCGAATCGACTGCACCCTCATTGTCAATCGGTCAATGACTATGGAATGACGATGAAAATGGACCCTTTTGGGGCATAAACGGAGTCTACTTTGTCAAATTCACACAAACTACTTACATCAGAATAACAAGCAGATAAAGAAAAAGCTATCCACACCTTTCTTGTCTTGTTTGCTGCGGTATAGAGAACGAACGATGCTATCTTGTGAACTACGGGGGTATGGTGTTTTTGTTTTGAGGAAAAAGAAGAAAATGTTAATCCCTGCGCGGAGGGACGCGCATGCCTATCTCCAACTGCATCTATCGAGCATTCCGTAGCACCCATAACTTATGTAGAACATGGCTTTGAGCACTACTTCAATAGTTCTACATAATTATCCCTTGACAAGAATGGTGTAGGTGATTCCCTCCAACTCGGGAGTGTCGACACTACCACTCGACGCCATCCACCCTCCCCCTGACGGATAGCAAAACCTCAGGACTGCCAAGGAGGCCGATATCCAGCTCCTAAACCCGAGGACACACCCACACCATCAGCTTGTCATTGTATTTTTTTGGCTTCTCGACTCCAAAAGTCGTCCACCGAAGCCCCCTAATATTACAGAAGTGCCTGTTCTATTATGGTTTATGGCTCATGTTTCCTTTTCCAAAGGTTGTTCATGAGCAAGTCTACACGTATGATGGTTTCAATTTTTGCAAGCAAAGGATCGACCCAATCTATACCACCGGTTCTGACGCAAACTAACAGAAATTCGACCACCAGCGTTGGGCGCCGTCTCACCTTCTACACTGTCAATGATGCTCCGTATCTGGTCCTTTATGCTGCCGACAATGCACCTGAGGCACCCCAAAACCACCACCAAAGCGGGTGTTGATCGACAACTTCCAAGGTTGCTCGATTTCCAAGGTTGCTAGGCCGTGAAGTTCCAAGGTTGCCGGCCTTGCAATGTTGCAGGCCGGCACAACATTCGATTTCCAATCAATTTATTTCGAATGAATAAAATTCAAAATGCTCCACAGAGGAGCGTCGGCAAGGTTGTGTTAATCCCTGCGCGGAGGGACGCGCATGCCTATCTCCGACTGCATCTATCGAGCATTCCGTAGCACCCATAACTTATGTAGAACATGGCTTTGAGCACTACTTCAATAGAAAAAACACTATTTTAAAATATCAACACGACTTTGGAAAATCACAATAGAATTTGCTGCAAAATTTACCGCAAATTTTTCAATTTGCGGTTATGATAACTAACCGCAAATTATTGATGAAAGATTTTCTTCATCCGTAATGTCCGCTTTGCCCAGGTGGTTTGGTTTCATGATCTGGTTGCCTCCGTGACACTTACTGGCTGGCGATCGAAGAAGTATTTGGCTGGCACTCACTGACATTTTTACGTGATGGGCTCGGCAAAAATTCGGTGCTATGACCTTGCACATAAAACTATTTGGTGGAGTGACCAAAGGTCGCGAGGCCCATGATCAGACACCCCAAAGTAAACCAAATGAATCATTCAACACCATACAGTAGCTACTTGTTTTCACAAGCTTCCATAAAATTCAGTTTCAAAAAACAAAAAAAACGCATTTTGCAAACAAAACGTCATCTTCTCTATTACTTTGTCTACACAATGACTGTGTAGCAACACCAGTTTTGCTGTTAAAAGTGCTTGATTGAAGACTACAACCATGGGCTCTGATGATGATATATCAAATGAGATGGCTCTGAAATCAACAAAGGCTGCAACTGATCAAGGTCAGGGAGGCCTGGAGGAAAAAACCCGTTTGAATTCGACCACCCAACTGACGGTTGACTTGGTAAAAGATAACCCAAGCAATTTCCCCATGGAATTGGTTGAAATCGTTTGGCATGCTTTGACAACTCCCAAGAGCCGGCACAAGCAACGCCCTCCTTCCAAAATCGCCGAGGATGTTGCAATGAAAGGACAGCCGCTTGTCGCCTCTCCCAAGAAACTCAATCCACCAAGCAATGACCCTATGAAATTTGTCAAAATCGTTTGGCATGCTTTGACAACAGTGCCGTTTCCACCAACCATTGATCATTCTTTGGATAGATCCTCAATTGGATGGTGCAAACAACAAGGTTGGAACAAGAACCAAATTTTCGACTATATCAATGTTAGAATAAAGCAAAATGTGCTCTATCGTGAGTGCCTTTAGCGCTCAGAACAAACTCTCTGCAATCTAAATTCGTAATCGACTGTACAACACTTTCACGACAATAGTTCTCCTGTGTCTA